TACTATAAAAACATATGAGTAGGTCACAACCCATATATTAAATTTACTATAGATTGGTACTATTTCGATACCAGTTTGATACCAGTTCGGTACTTTTTCAGAATCCTAATATCAATAGATTTGAGATAGGTGGTAAAAAGTACCTTGTTGATTATTACTCTGATCTTTTTTTTTGTGGCTTTCAAGATATATCCAATATTGTTTAACTTGATATAGTTTGTGTAAAACTCTTTTTCAATCTTCTTATATTTTGTTTGATGCTGGCCTTTAACTATGTTGTTTTTTATAAATGTTCTAAAGAAATCATGATTATAATATTTAATTTTTAAAAATATTCCTTTGAGAAATATTTTTGGTTGGCTTGTGAGTTTACTTCTAATTTTTAAAAAAAAGTTTACAATGGACTTGGTAAAGTATTTATATTGGTTAAGCTATTTATGTAGTTCAATTAGTTTCTCTTGCATAGAAGGAAGTATGTTTTTTTTAATATTTACTATAGATTGGTGAAAGCTTCTCTGGATTTATTTAAGTATTTGAATGATTTTATTAGTTCATAAGTTTGAGTGTGATTCTATTGTTGCAATTAAAGAAGAGTTGGTTATCAATTTTTATGTTTGTATCAAGTGGTTGTACTATATGTAGAAATGTATAAGTAGAAGTATTGTTGTTTATGATTGCATATAAAATTGTTTAATTATCAATTGGGCATACATATAAACTGAAGTAATTGTTATTATATTTAGGAATAGTTACATATTGTGTTTCATTTATATAATTAAGCAGTATAATATTGTTATTAGTTTTTTCTTTAGTAAAAACAAGAGTATTTAAAAGGGATATAAAAGTTTTAGTTTTTTGTTTCAAGGTGAAAGTTTTGGCTAGTTCATCAATAATGATATTATATTTGTTTCAAGAGATATGTAAGCTATAGTTTAGTTTTTGCTTTATTATTTCTTTAAGAAAACTTGTTCAGTTTTTGTCTAAAAATAAAAATGTATATTGGTAATTAAAAAATAAATTGAGATTGTCAAAAGGTATTAAATTTGGAAGTGTTACTTTAATTTCAGTATAATGGTTTCTTAATCTTTTTTTTTGAGTTTCAAATAATACTGATATAACTTTATAGGTTTTTTAATTATTTTCTTGAACTTGAACTAATGTAAACTATATTTTTGAAGAGTTTTTGGGTTTGAAAAGTCTGGTAGTAAAAACAGAATAGGTAGTGTAAATAATATTAGTATTGATATTTTTGTAAATAATAACTGCAAGATATTTGTTTATATTAGTAATAAGTATATCAAAAAGGATATATAAAGGTTTAACTGCTTAATTCTTAAGGGATATAAAAGACTCTTCAGGATTTTTAGAAGTTTTTTTTTATGAAAAAATTTTTATTTCTTAAAATAGTAATTTTTGATGAATACAAGTGAATCAGGGAAGTGTTATGTCTTAAAATTTTTATTTATATTATTTAATATATAGTAAAAATCTTTAATAAAAATTTATTATTTAATTTTAGTTTTTATTTTCTTGAAACCTATTTATTAAATAAACAAAAAAATTTTTAATATAATTAATCTAATATTATTTTTTTAAAAAAAATAACTTCAAAATATTTGAAAATTATTTGTTAATAAAATATTATTATAAAAAAAAACTATATTAAAATTTTATTTAAAACAAATAAATGATATAATATTTTGTTTATGATATTAAGAATTAATATAAAAATAATATTAACAATAATTAATAAAAAAAAGTATATAAAATAAAATTATAAAGAATAATTATTAAGATTTTTTTTTTTTTGTATAATTAAATATATACAAATTTTAAAATTTATTTTTAATTAAAAATTTTATTTTAATACAATATTATTTTTTAAAGTTTTTATATTTTAAGATTATAATTTATATAAAATATAAAAAACAAATGTTTGTTGAAAACTTTTATATTTTTTAGCAATAAGATTTATATACTTTTTTTTAATAACAAATCTTTTTTGAAATAACTTCTTGTTTTATTTATTTTTCAAAAAAAATTTTATGATTTAAATAAAAAAATTACAAAATATTACTTGAAAAATCTATGACAAGAAGATTCTTTCTAGAAAGCAAACCAACAAGAAAAAATATTTTCTAAATATTTTGTTAAAAATTTGAAAATAAATAAATTCTTTTTTAAAGTTTAGATTTCAATATTTAAAAAGTATTTGATTCAATATATATCATATGTTATTTTGTGTATTTTTTTTTTAAAAAAAAGATGTATGTATTTGAATTTGCATAAAAAACCGTTTATTAGTGATACTGTAAATGCCTAATGTAAAAAATTACTATTACGTGATATACAGTATTTAATTATTAAAAATTCAAAAATTGATTATAATTAGTTTATTACTGTGCAGATAAAATAAATAAGATAACAATATAATGATTATATAATTTTTTTAAATGAATATAATGTATATAATGTACATGTATGTTGGACGTGTTTAATCAACCTATTCTTTTAATTGATCAGTATCCTAAAAGTTTCTTATTTTACGGAGTTATGGTTTTTAAAAATCCAATTTTTTACTTCATAGGCCAATTCTTACTCGAGGTTGTCCTATCAAGATTTTTTTTTAAAAAAAAAATTATTAAGAACATTGTATTCCGAAATATTTAGATAAACGAAATTTGCAACTCATCTGGCATGATTCCAATAGTTAAAAAAAAAAAAGACCACTCTACGTTTGATAAAAGAATTGTCTAACACATGATACGATTGTTATTATTCTAACACAGCACATGCTAGCGCAATAAATGGGAACATATCCAACGCAAGCATTTTGGTATTAGATTTGAATCTTTTTTTATCCACTCTAGTTAATTTAACATTATCGTTATCTTTAAGTCGAAGATTTTGATCAGAAGGGATCTACTGTATATACAGTAAATTGTTGCATTATCAAATTTATACCTTTCGGAATAAGATCAGTTTTTTTTATCCTTTTTTGAATTTGAAATTCATTGCGTTATGCGTTCAATTATTCGAATCTTCTTGTCGCATTAAAGGAACCAAAGGGATTAATATGATTCCCGATATTCCGCGGAATCTCAATTATACATATAGTTAGGATGTTTATTCCACATGTAAATGAATCGCCAACATCTTGTTAAATTTATAAATACTGTACATGAAACATGATAATACAATGCTGTTTAAGTTCAATAAGATCGGCGTGCGAATCGTTAAAAAAGTAAATCAACCAATTCTTGGCCAGGATACGAGTGTAACCGAAAATATTCGATCGTTAATGCTGTATTCCACAATGCTAACATAAGCTTAGGTGTTTATATTAAACCGGTATGTCCCATATTTGTGTATACAAGTTTGAACTTATGTGGAAATAAAAAATTTACCTTTCCTGTACTAATAAGCAAGCCGTGAAAGAGTTATAAACCATCCATTCATTTACACTAGTGAATTAACTTTTCCTTTCCTTAACAACATACTGTATATGCGTACATTTTCCTCGCTTTCCGAAATGTATCGCTTCATAATAATCACTCTCTTTCTTTCACCACTCTTCCTTCTCACCTTTTCTTCATATTTTCCTTACATATTTTCAATAAATTCTCAACACCCTATCTTCCGTCGCATTTCATCCCCCTCTGTCCTTAGTCCAATTTCTACTTCACCACCGCCTGCTTTCTTCAAATCGATTAATCATCCACAACAACCATCAAATTTAGATCCAGAATTTCGAAAATTAGGTACAACAATTCCTACCAACAAGTTTTATACAAATCTGTTGGTGGGCAACGCACAATTCCCTGTTTGGCCGTTGCCATATGCACTGAGATTCGAGAGCGGAGTCAATAATGGATTATTCGGATTCAGCATTTCAAATGTCGACGAGGAAAATAAGGTATGACATGCGATTTTGAGTGCTTATGTGTACAGCATAACGTTAAATAGATACAACAATTTTAGGTATTCGGACCGGCTGCAAGTTACTTTTACTCAGCATACACTCCTAGTATAACAATCTCCTCTAAAGAGCTTCGAAATTCCACGAAACTTCTTCTTTCTAATCCCGATGAATTTTCCATTACGGCAAAGCTTGTGTCAAATTATTCCACAAATCCTACTCAACCACAAATTACTTTACCAATTGTTAGAGGAATGGCTTTTGTTACAGCTCAATACAGGAAGATGAGTCCTGTATTTGAGTCCAGTGTTGTATTTAATGTACTCAGTTCCCCAATTAAATTGAATCACGGAGTTATTAAATATAGAGTCACATTAGCTGATGGAAGTAATTGGTTGATTTATGCGATTAATGATGATGGAATCAGTATTCTCCGGTTGTCAAAGACGAAATCGAATAGAATTGAGTCGACATCCGGTTTATTCAGTGGTATTATTCAGATCGCAAAAGTGCCAAAAGGAAATTTAGCAGGCGAAAGTGTTTACGACAAGTGTGCGGGAACCTTTGCCACTACGGCTCTATTGGACGTCCAAAATTATGGGTGTGTGATAGAATTTCGGTTATACGTATCGTTATATGCAGTATATACTGTATGTCTCAGTTTCTCAACTATCAACTTTTTATCTAAATAGAAATGTAGGGTCCTACACCCTCTCCTGGATAACCACCACCAAGACCTCGGCACCTCTTCTTCACTATGCACTTCCTCATCACATCACTTCGTTCCAAACCTCTTTTCTCCAGGAGACCTCTCTCACGCTAACGTCTCCTTCAACGGGTCAAATGAAAGCATATATCGGTTCAACCTGGTCACTTGTCGAGTCCAGTCTCAACCAAATTTCATTCTTGCCACCAAACTTTGCTTCAAAATTAACCCCTTCTCGGATTAATACCATCAAAGCCCAAGCAATTAAAGATGTTTCGTTGGATTTCAAGGCATTGTCAAATTTGGATACTACATATTTTAGTGGAAAAGCAATGGCAAAATTTGGACTAGTATGTTTGGTGGTGAACGATGTGTTAAAGAACAAAACTCTTGGAAATACCTGTCTGTCAAAGTTACAGGTATCTTATTGTCACTTGGCATATACTTATTGCAAATTTTTAATTGATGTATACGTACTGACCATTTATTCACGTTCGAATACACGCATAATTAATCCCGCAGACCGCCATGAAAGCATTTATTTCGAATACTCAACAATATCCACTCCGGTATGATAATACATGGAAAGGGATAGTCTCTTCGGCTGCTTTCGTGACTAAAAATATTCAAGCTGATTTCGGTGCTTCATATTATAAGTAGGTCTATTTTTTATTCATGAATACATGATATTTTGGCGATTCTCATTTGAATAAAATCATTCGTTTCACAATTACTGTAACTAGCGATCATCATTTTCACTATGGCTATTTCGTTTACACCGCGGCCATAATCCGCCATTTAAATGAATCATGGGGCGTCGCTAACGCTGCATGGGTGAATTCCTTGATTCGCGATGTGTCCAATCCATCAAAAAACGATCGCTATTTTCCCACATTCCGCAGTTTCGATTGGTTTGCCGGTCACAGTTGGGCAAGTGGGATCTTTGCCTCCCAAGATGGCAATAACGAGGAATCCACTAGTGAGGATTATAATTTCTTTTATGCAACGAAATTATGGGCTCAGACCTCTTCGAAAACTGTCGAAATGAGTAATTTGGGAAAATTGATGGATGTCATACTAGCGGTTGAGTCAAGGGCGGTAAAAGCATATTTCTTGTTAGAGGACGAAAATACCGTGCAACCGAAAGCATTCTTGCCGAACAAAGTTTCCGGAATATTATGGGAAGACAAACTTGATCACACCACTTTCTTCTCGCAACAGATTGGTAAGTGAGAAAAAATCAATCATTTAAAAAAAATGCAATAAACTGATGAACATATCGCTCATGTAGAGGCCATCCAGGGAATTCAAATGATTCCGATAACGCCAATTGTTCCATATTTCAGAACCAAGAGATTTGTAAGTAGATTATCTCCAGAAGTAATTCTATCTAATTACGCTCGACGCATCGTATCATAATACTGTATATTAACAAAAAAAAAAAAAACTCCACAAAATTTAGATTACTGAAGAATGGACAAGGCTTCTTTCACCCATACTTCCTTTTATCAATAATAGTTGGAAATCACTGCTTTATACAAACCATGCGATTGTTGATCCAAACACAGCCTATAATTTTTTTGCGAGCAACTCGAGTGTACAATTAGATGATGGCTTAAGCAGGACTTGGGCTCTATTTTGGTGTGCCGTTCAATGACACGACAGTGCATCTTAGCGGGCCATGATTGTTTAATCGTTATTTTGAAATATCATAGTTCAAATACGTTAGGCATAAAAAAAATTTATATACTGTAAATCACCTGTTAAAAACTCGGATAGTTATTTATTTAAATAGAGTGAGCCTCAAAAATAAATTATATAATTTGTTTGTAACAATAAAAGAATATATACGCAGGGTGTGAAACGAGGTTCTTTTGATATTTATTAATGGCCTAAGAATTGTTAACTTTTCGAGATGATTTTGTTAATACGTAATTAGCCACGAGTTACGCGATTGAAGATTGCACTACGTTTTTCGTGACATGGCTAGTAAAAGTATAAGGAATCAGTAGTCATTGTAATGTGATACGTACAACCAAGTGCTGAGAGTGAATAGACATATAATTTATTTAAAAATAATGTTAAGGCAGGGCTTATTTTTAATTAATTCTAAATTGTTGATCAAGTTTACACTCTTCAGGCAGGTTATATTTGATTTTACTTATTACGCAATGGTCTATGATTCGCGGAAGCAATTGACTGTTAATAAATTCATTATTAACAATATACAATTTTTTTCATTTGGTAAAAAATTATATTATAAAAAAAATTTTTTTACTAAATTAATATTAATAATCAAAACCAAATTTATTGATACTTTAAAATAATAATAATATTTTTTAATATTAATAATAGAATTATATAGGATTTTATTTAAATTTATTATTTATATATTTAATTTCTTACCAAGTTCAAATATTGAAAAGTCGATATATTTAAAATTTCCTTAAACATTCTTAAAAAAATTTTTTGATTTGTAAAAAAATTTTATGACTATAAAATTCTAAATAATAAATAAATGATTTTTTAAACTTTTTTAATTATTATATTATAAAAATTATATCATGAGTTGTTATCTTTTTTATAATGTTGTAAAATTTTTAAAAACTTTAATAACAATAATAATAAATTAATTGGCATATATAATTCCATTTCAAATTCAAATCCAATCTTTTGATTTATCCATTTTTTTTTTTTTAAATGCTAAGATGAGACAACGCTCTAGTTTTATTAACATAGATAGTTTTTGTTACATATGTGCTATGTCTATACTATATTAATCTTATATTAACTAGAACCTATCCACAAGTTTAACCTATCCAGGTATAGTCTGCCACCCTGCTTGCTTACTTAAGCATTACCTATTACATTTCTTTCTTTTCTATCTGATACTAACTTCAATTCTATCTGTAATTATCATCTTCTTTTTAGCTACTCAAGAACGGCCAAGGTCTTTCTGCTTTTGTGGCTGCCTTTCCAGAATAGGTAACTAGCAAGCTGACGTATTACTGAATTGGGAAACCTTTTCATGGAAGAGATGCCTTGATACCCATAGGGAAACAATTACCAATTCTTTTTATTCTTACTGAAACAGGTATCTACACATTTCTTTACTACTTCTGGCAATTGTCATATTACCAACCAGATGATCGTCATGTCACTATGCCTTTTTCTTGATAGTCACAATTTCATTGCTTGCATAATCGCATGTGAAACAGCTTGTATGAGAAATGACACTTTGACAGATTATAGTGCCGGATACTATATTTTATTCTTTTATTCAACTGCGTTCACCTGGAGTTGAACTGGTATCTTGCAATCTGACCTGTGGAGCACTAACCACTGTGCTATAGACCCACAAGCCTATTTTCAAGTTTATATTAATTTTAATATGTGAATTATAACTACTATTATTTTTAATAGTGTTCTAAATCTTATATACAGTAAATCTATATAATTTTTATTCGATTCCAATTTTTAAAACTATAGGCAATATAGTCCAATTATATTTTGAGAGAATATTATACTTTAAGAGAATTTTATTAAGATAGTTATTTTTAATTTTAGAAATGATTTTTTTAATTGATTTGAAAAGTATAATAGATCAAATAATATTAATATATTATTGTCAATCCTTGGTTTTAAAGATCAAATAGATTAATATTAACAAAAAAATACTTTTCCACTCACCTTTACTTTGTCAAAAATTTTCTTTTCAGGAATTTTCTCTTTTTTTCTTTTCACTTCTCTTTGTCTGCCAAAGATAAGAGCTTGCAGCAAGTTGAGTCTGAGATGTGTTGATACCACACGAGGCTTTTCTAACTGTCTGACAGTACATCTGGACGAAGCACTTATGTTTAGGGAAGCATAAGCAAACCAACTCCTGCACATAACAGCAGTCTGAAACAAGGATTAAAAAGATTTGGGAGTACCAATCTTTTCTTTGCAAGACCCTGTGTACATCTGGTAATCACAAATATAAGTACAATTTATTTTTTTTCCCTTTTCCTTTTTCTCCTTTTCCAAATCTCCTTTTCTGTCAATAAACAGTTTTTTCTTTTCCTTGAAGGTTTTCTTTTTAGGTCTCTCTCTCTTTAC